GCGCGAGCCGAGAGCTTGTCCGCAAAGGTGTCGCGGACAAGCACAAGGCAGCCCCAGACGTGAAAGGCCGACCCAACACCAGGGGACCCAGTCCAAAGACTGGTCGGTGAAACCTCTGGTCGCGAGACACGCGGCTGGAGGTTCATCTGGTGTGCGGCGTAGCGCAGCGCGTAGGGCCACAGAAAATGGGGCGCACGGGCATGGATCATGGACGTGCAGGCGATGACCATGACCAAGCCAATGCGGCGCTCAGCAACCCCATTCTGCTGTGGGGACTCCGGCAGCGTCCTGGGGTGTCTGATGCCCTGCTCGCCGCAGAACCCGGCAAGGACGCCGGAGCGAAACTCACACCCACGGTTGGAGTGGAGACAACGGACACGACTACCACGAGTGCCCTCAGTGTCCAGAAGCCACCGGATTAGCGTAGAAGTCACCTCGAACTTCTTCGCGAGAGGAAACACCATGGTGTACCTGGAGTAGTCGTCAACAACCACTAGAAAGTAGCGCTCCCTCTCAGGACCCAGCGTAGGGGCAGGGCCCCAGACGTCCAGGTGTAAAGTCTGGAAGGGAGCAGTGGCCGGACGAAGGGAGGAGGAGTGCGGAGTGGCGCGCAGGCGGCCGACGACGCAAGGAGTGCAGGGTGGGGCAAGCGAGGGAGGGAGCGACGAAAAGACGCGCGGGAGACATGAGACAAGACTGTGACTGGCCATGCTGCGGAGGCGGGGGAGCGACAAGTGGCCAAGGCGGTGGTGCCACAAGACGGTCGGGTGGGCTAGGGACCGACAGGAGCAAGTCGCAGCAACCTGACCAGACACCTCTACCTGACCAGACACAGCAACCGGACTAGACACTGGGACCTGAGGGGACGCAGCGACCTGAGCGGAGGATGCAACCGGGGAGCGCCCGGTGTGGAGAACGTAGAGACCAGAGCGGGACTCCCTGGTGAAAGTGGCCAGAACTGCACCTGTAGCAGCGTCTGTACAGACCGCAGCCCTCCCACCCCCCACAAAGGTAATGGTGATCCCTCTGTCCTTGTGGTATCCAACACCCACCAAGTTCCGAGTGAACGAGGGGATGTGGAGGCCACGCAGGACACCAGAGGGGACCACTGGGCACGGGAGGGTGGTGGAGCTGCGCGCAACGGCTGGTCCTGAAGAAGGATCAGCCAGAGCTACCAGAACCGGAGCAAGGAGTGGTGTGAGGGTCGTGTGGTCGCGGAAGAAATACTGCGACGCGCCAGAGTCCAGCGTGAACGACAGAGATGCCTCAGCCGGAGGCGTGTCAGGTCCGGAGGCTACACAAGAAACCTAGAGCAGAAACACAAGCACCTAGACTAGAGAGGCACATGTCTACACTAACAGGAGGTAAGCATCCTAGACTACGAACACGCGAGCACACTGATCCATCAGCACTATAGTCAACATCAGCATACAAAGCATACTGACGAGCATCGTCTTTAGACAGTTCAAATACAGGAATCTTACGGGCTAGCAGGCGAGCCCAGCGCGGGGTGGTCGCCTCAGGACCCCAGCGCGCATGGTAGAGGTCGTCGAGGCGGCGGAAGCACCGCGCCGCAGAGTGGTCGTCGCGGCCGCAGACACAGGGACTGCCCGGTCCGGTGATGCACCAGTGGTCGCAGGGGCCGGTGTCGCGCCGCGGGGGGCGAGGGGCCCAGCTGGTAGTGCTGCTGCTGCGGCCAGTGCTCCCGGGTCCTCCAGGTCCCCACTGTGGCGGAGGGCCCCAGTGCTGCTGCGGACCCCACTGAAGTGGCGGTCCCCACGACTGAAACTGCTGTGGCGCCTGCCAATGCTGCTGTCCCTGCTGCTGCTGCTATCTCTGCTGTGGCTGCTGCTGCTGGGGCCCCGCACCACCGCTGGTCGAACCTCCTCCAGCAGGCGGGTCAGCACCTCCTCCAGAGCTCCCTCCGCCTGGTGCACCACCGCCACCGCCACCACTGCCGCCCCCAGGGCCGCCTCCACCACCGTCGCCTCCTCCACTGCCGCCACCCCCCTTCCCCCCTTTCTTGCCTCCCTTTGCCCGTTTCTGCCCGTCAGCGGCAGAAACAGCTGCAGTGTCCTCCGAGACCGACACAGCAGCACAGGCACGAGTAGCAGTGAAGGTGGGAAGCTGGGGGACAGCACACCCCTCAAACAGGCGAGGGGCAACTGCGTCAGTGGCTGAGGCAACAGAGAGGAGGTTACTCTCGATCTTCCCGAGAGTGGTCTCAAGAAGATCAATCGTAAGCTCACTGGGGTGCTGCTGGAGAAGTGCGTCACGGGCAGAGGAGAGGCGGTCAGGGAGACGAGTGACTACCCAGTGGACGGTGAGCCAGATAGGAGGAGGGGCAACAAGAAGCTGAGCCTCAGTGCAAGCTGCTCGGTAGGTAGCGACAAGGGAGCGCAAGTGTGTGGCTAGGTCGGAGACAGTCGCAAACGACCCGAGGTCGGGAAACACGAACGGCATGAGGATGCGGCTGAGAGAGGCAGAGGAAGGGGTGGAATAGCGTGCAGAAATAGCAGCATACACCTCCTTCGTTGTCTCTACCAGGTCGAATTGAGCGCCCTCAGTCGGTGGAAGAAGCTCGGTCAGCGCGAGTGCAGCCGCAGCGTCACGGGAGTCCCAAACGTCCCGCGCCAAGACGAGACGAGCGTGGTCCGCCTGCGCCTCCGAAGTCGGGGGGGGCACGGCAGGGAGGGGCTCGGGATGCGGGGGTGCCTGGAGGGCGCCGGACGCGTGGGCGTACAGGGTGGCGCCGTCCTGGCGCTGACTGGTGAGGTAGCGCTGAGTCTGGCGGAGCCAGGTGTCGAACTCTATCGGGCGCCCTTCCGCATCGAAACGAAGGCGGCGGGAGGAGTCCGTATTGGACGCTAGGCTCGGAACGGCGGAGGTGAACCTAGGAGTCCTAAGAACGACAGTGGAGGAGGAAACCGGGCTAGGGGGTTAGAGGCTAGGAGCTAGGTGCGACCCAAGTCGAAACTAGTGACCGAAGCGAGAAGCGGCTGCCCGCCGCTGAGTGAAATGCCAGTAGCAGTAGGAACGGTTTTAGCCCGGGGGGACAGGGTGGTGGCTAGGTGAGAAGGGGCGGTTGGGACGTTAGAAGGAGGTGGCGCGTGGGTTAGGGCGCGGCCTAAGGCGAGGGCGAGGGCTAAGGCGAGGGCGCGGGCCTAGGCGAGGGCGCGGGCTAAGGCGAGGGCGCGGGCTGGGGCGACGGGCTAGGGCGCGGGCCGGGGCGACGGGCTAGGGCGCGGGCCTGGGCGACGGGCTAGGGGGCGAGCTGGGGCGACGGGCTAGGGCGCGGGCTGGGGCGATGGGCTAGGGCGCGGTCCGGGGCGACGGGCTAGGGCGCGGGCTGAGGCGACGGCCTAGGGCGCGGGCTAGGGCGAAGGGCTAGGGCGCGGGCCGAGGCGACGGGCTAGGGCGCGGGCCTGGGCGACGGGCTAGGGCGCGGGCTGGGGCGACGGGCTAGGGCGTGGGCCTGGGCGACGGGCTAGGGCGCGGGCTGGGGCGACGGCCTAGGGCGCGGGCTGGGGCGACGGCCTAGGGCGCGGGCCGGGGCGACGGGCTAGGGCGCGGGCCTGGGCGACGGGCTAGGACGCGGGCTGGGGCGACGGGCTAGGACGCGGGCTGGGGCGACGGGCTAGGGCGTGGGACTGGGCGACGGGCTAGGGGCGCAGGCTAGGGGCGCGGAGGGCGCTAGGCGCGGAGGTCCGCGACGGCGCGGGCTAGGGGGCGCGGAGGGCGCTAGGCGCGGAGGTCCACGACGGCGCGGGCTAGGGGCGCGGAGGGCGCTGACGCGCGGAGGAGGAGGGCGCTAGGCGCGGAGAGGGCGCGGAGGGCGCGGAGGCTAAGGCGCGGAGGGCGCGGAGGTGCGCTAGAGAGGGCGCATGCTAGGAAGTAACGAGGAACTAACATACTCATGATACCATCTCAAAGTAGGAATTCAACGAAATGTGAAGTAGAAACAGGATGGGGTACAAGTATGCAAACCTAAAAGCTGTACCCCCAAGAAGGCACCTCATTACAGCCTATACCACATATTATATATTTGACAAAGAATGTTGAATGGGTTCTATTGTAGCACCTTCTTCTGCACTCATAGTTCCTGGTTATGTTCTATTGCTTATGGATAAAGGCACATTAGTCTGGGGTATTAAGCACATGTGCAAAATAAATGGATGCGCTTATACCTGGGGGATCATTGTATAGTCAGAGTAACTAGTTTAAAAGAGATACCAGATCGCATATAAACTACATATACATTGAAGATATTATTGCCGGAAAATGGTTCTGTAAATCAAGATCAATGGCTAATGTAGTTGAACTTAAAGACAGAAACATATTTAATTGTATGGAAAAGGCAACCCTATTCAGACACTACAGAAATCTGGTTAGCTGTTGACGGGGACGCATTACCTTTTCCGCGATAATAATTTCTGCCATTTCAACTCATAGCTTTGCTGCGAGCCATTCCTTGGCGCAGTTGACGCATAATTGCGCGCCCCGCGCTCCTCTCTCCCTCGATCCCATCATTTTCAAACTCCTTCCGACGCACGTACGCCAGCGACGCGACAGGCTTCAGCAGTCGAACTATTACCAGGGACTAGGTGCGCGGCATTTCGCTGCGAAGCTCACTCGTCGACCCAGCAATGATCGCGGCAAAGCACACCGCTGCCGCCGCGCGACTTCACCGTCGCTCTCGCCGCAACTGGCGGGCAGAGCCACGGCAGGCAACGTCACGGCGTCCATGGCGTGACACGCTCGGTCATCGTCGTGCGCATAAAAGGAGCTGGTTCCGCCTTCAGAAAAGCATCTTCTTTCGCTTCCCTCCACCACGCACACCAGCAGCAGCTCCAGATTAGGAGAGAACAAGCTCATCGAGATTTGTCACTTCAAGCCTGCAGCCGCATCCATTCAGCTCGCCACGCGCTCCCAGCTGCGCGCAACCGTCGCCCCCAGTGTGCGCCGCACCAGCTCCTCGATTTCGCCCTCCCGCCGCCACCATGGCCAGCCCACGAGGCGCGCGCGCGCCCTCGCCGCTGCTGCTGCTCTTCCTCGCCACTCTGCTGCCTCTGCTCGCCGCGCCGGCCGCGTCGGTGATGGTGAGCGCTGCTGCTGCGTGGAGTGGCGGCAGCGACGATCCCATGGGCAGCGACCCCTCTGCCGCCGCGTGGACCACTGGCAGCGACGCGACCGGCCTTGTGACCGGCGGGCCGCGCATGGCGCTCGAAGAGGGCGAGGGCGACGCGGGGGACGAGATGGCGGGCGGGTGGGCGCTGGGAGACGGCGGCTGGGGGGATGAGGAGGCGCAGGGGGAGGCGGACGTCGAGGAGCGCGCGGAGGGCAGGAGCCTGGCGGAGGAGGGCGCGGGGGAAGAGGAGGAGAGCGCGGCGGAAGAGATGGAGGGAGAGATGGCGGAGGGTGAGGGGGAAGGGGAGGAGGAGGAGGAAGAGGGGCGCGTGCTGGCGGAGGGCGACTGGGTGGATGAAAGCGAGGAGGGCGATGCGGACGAGGAGAGCGAGGAGAGCGAGGAGAGCGAGGAGGGAAGGGTGCTTGCAGAGGAAGAGGAGGATGAGGATGAGGAGGTGGAAGATGGCGAGGAGGAGGAGGAGATTGACGGAGCGGAAGGCAGGATGCTGGTGGAGAGCGGAGATGTGGAGAAGGAGGAAGAGGAGGAGGGCGGGGAGATGGCGGGTGAGGAGGAGGATGAGGAGGAAGAGGGCAGGGTGCTGGCGGAAGTGGAGGACGAAGATGAGGAGATGGAGGGCGAGCATGTGGAGGAGGCGGAGGAGGCAGAGGAGGAGGGGAGAGGTCTTGTGGAGGACAGCGAGAGCGAGGAGGAAGGCGGTGGAATGGATGATGACACGGAGGAGGGGGGTGATGAGGCTGACGGACTTCAGATGTCCAGGGAGCTTCAGGAGGAGGAGGGGATGGAGAGTGACAACGAGGAGGAGGTTGAGGATGACGAGGGGGATGAGGAGGAAGGGATTGAGTTTTCACGCAAGCTGGCTGACGAGGAGGAGAAGAAGGGCGAGGAGAAGAAGGAAGAGAAGAAGGGCGAGGAGAAGAAGAAGGAGAAGAAGAAGAAGGAAGAGAAGAAGCCGGGGGTTCTGAAGAGGACGGCGAGTGCGATCAAGAACTTCTTTACGAACATCCGTGATCGCATCACTGGCAAGAACAAGAAGCCCGACAACAGCCCCCGCAAGGCAGGCCCCTCCGATGCCAAGGATGCCAAGGCCTAGGCTCCAGCGCCAGGCGCACAACGTGTGCACTTCCCAGCTCCATTGCTAGGAATGCCACAGTTACATGCGAATAAGCAGCTATGATGGAAGATTGGAGGAGTGCAGTGGAACAGTGCAGCTGATGGTACTGAAAGGTAGGATTTTCTGAATGGTTGAGGTTGTTTTCTTAGGTTTCTTGCATGTGGGCTGAAGGATGTGTGTCTTTGTGCGATTTGGTAATGTTGTTGGATGTTCTGTTTCTTCATCTTATGCATTACAAAGTTGGATATTATGTTTCTTCATCTAAAGACCGTATATTTTCGAATGCTGAAGAACATGTCGCACCAGATTTTGCCCCGTAATGAACAACATTCGTCTCTTCTCTAGCCTGCTATTCTGCCCACTCTCTTCACTCCACTTGACTCGCTGTTCATGGCTCGTGTATATTGCATCTTGCTGCTCTGTAGCATCATAGATGTCTTCCTACTGTACAAACGCACATTGTCTCCTCGTGTCATGTGTGCCGCTTCACGTGCACTCGTAACAGGGGTTGAACAAGGGGCCGCCAAGGTGAGGAAAGCATCCTTAGCTGCTACGCATGTTCTTCTCACTTCCCTCTCACGTGCTACCTGTCAGAATGAGAAGCTAGAATGACTGCATTGAAAGAATTGTGGGTACAAGTACTAACCCTAACATTGGGTCATACCCCATACAGGCTACCCCAACGGACGGTCACAAGACCAGTCAGGCAGGAGAACAAAGCAAAGAAAAGGTCATGGTGGATCTCAAGATCACCACGCAGTATGAGCACAAGCAAGCGGCCACAAGGCCAGTTCACATGCAGAGTTATAAAAGCACAAGCAGTACAGTGATCACAACCTAGCAAGAGCAAGCATGCAGGTAAATATAAATCACAATACAAGACAAAATCAGGCAACCAGTAGGTGGGGCCGAGTAGGCACAAGGTCTAGAGCAGTGCAGAAACGCTGATGATCACAAGACCCAAGGGCCTTGGTGAAGACATCAGCAGTGTTGGCCGAGAGGCCACGTAAGCAAGGCGCAGCTTACCACGCTGCTGCAGCTCCCGAGCAAGAAAGTAACGAAGAGAAATGTGCTTCGTTCTGTGCTCCTGTCTCTGGTCCTGACACAAGGCAATCATGGCCTTGTTGTCGACGTACATAATTGGAGGAGAACGAGGCCGCTCACCCAAGTCGGTCAGCAGGTAGGTCAGCCAGCGTAACTCCTGTGCAGTCATGGCTCCAGCGTAGATCTCGGCCTCACAGTTGGAACCATGCACAGAAGGCGAACGAGTGCACCTCCACGAGACAGAACCAGAGCCGAGGCTGAAAGAGTAACCCTGGGACGACCGCCTGGTCGTCGGCCCAAGAAGCATCGGAGTGTCCTGTGAGTACCACTGGACCCCGTCCTCCAATCACGAGCCCCATGCCCAATGTCTGCACAAGCAACGCAGTACCCTCTGCGCAACTGTCCAGTGCTCCTTCCTGTGTCTCTTGTGGGCGACGAAACGAGCAAGGATGCTGAGAGGGTACGAGAGGTCAGGTCGTGTGCACGTCAGCAGGTACATGAGGCAGTCCACAAGCTCTGGATACGGGCCACTCGGCTCTACGGACTCGTCCGAAGGTGGGGCTGAGAGCGAGTGGCCTGTATGCAGAGGAGTGGACTCTGGCGAGGAGAACCGAAAGCCGAAGCGCTGAAGGACCTGGTGCACCATGTGTGACTTAGTCAGGGTGATGGTACAACGTGCTCTGTCCCGGGTGATCTACAAGCCAAGATAGCTACGCAGCTCACCCAGGTCAGTGCAAGTATGTCTCTTCTGCAACTCCGCCTTCACAAGGGTCAGCGCCTCAGTGTCGGCAGTAGCAAAGACCAAGTCGCCGACGTACACGAGGATGTAGAACGGCGGCAGAGAAGGGTCGGTGCGCAGAAGCAGCGACGGGTCAGCAGTGGAAGGAGCAAACCCGAGAGCCGCAAGTGTCGTGCTCAGTGTGTCGTGCCACTCGCGGGGCGCCTGGCGGAGACCGTTGACTGGCTGCAGGCTCCACTCGGTACCCGCAGGAAACGACCCAGTGAAGCCAGGTGGGTGGCGCAGCCATATCTCCTCGTGAAGGCTGCCTTGCAAAAAGGCTGTGGAGAAGTCGAGGGAGTGCAGTTTGTAGTCACGCTGTGCTGCAACGTGCAGCAACACCCGTCATCTTCGGGGTGGGGGAGAAGGTCTGGAAGAAGACGAACCCCTGTCGCTGACCAAAGCCTCGAGCAACGTAACGCGCCTTGAAGGTAGGCGGAGAACCCAGGGGCCGCTTCACTCTGAAAATCCACATGCCATCGACTATGTTCGCCCCAGGAGGAGGAACCTCGTCGACGTAGGTGCATGTGGACTTCCAGGAAGCCATTGTCAAAGTACAATCTTACCTGTAGGCTATAGTGGGGCACTCCTTATGGGGTACAGCACTTCTAGGGTTAGTACTTGTACCCCAACTCTTGCTAATCCAATCATTCCTGCACAGTTGATTCTGACATGGTATCAGAGCAGAAAACCTGTTAGGTTTTTAGGGCCCACCGATAGTTCCGCTAGTTCCTGTCCGAAGCGCCCTTGCGCTGTCCGGCCCTGCTCGTACAGTGTCGCGCTGCCCTGCAGCTACTTGCACTGCCTGCCCCCGCACGTCGCGCCCTGCTGCAGCCTGCGAGTCGCGCCCTGCTGCCCTGCCCAGCGCGCGCCGCCCTGAAGTGCAGCCGCGCCCAGCTGCACTGCAGCCCGTGCAGCCCGCACGTTGCTGCCCTGCCCTTAGGCCCGCGCGCCGCCCTGCCCTGCAGCCCAGCGCGTCGCCCTGCTGCCCTGCCCAGCGCGCGCCTCACTGTCATGCGCGTCGCGCCCTCCTGCAGCCCGCGCGTCGCGCCCTGCTGCAGCCCGCGCGTCGCGCCCTGCAGCCCGCTCGTCGCACCCTACTGCCCCGCGCGTCGCGCCCTACTGCAGCCCGCGCGTCACGCCCTGCTGCCCCGCGCGTCGCGCCCTACTGCAGCCCGCGCGTCACGCCATGCTGCCCCGCGCGTCGCGCCCTACTGCAGCCTGCGCGTCGCGCCCTGCTGCAGCCCGCGCGTCGCGCCCTGCTGCCCTGCCCAGCGCGCGCCCTGCTGCCCTGTCCACCGCGCGCCCTGCTTTGCAGCCCGCGGTGCGCCCTGCCTTGCCCAGCCGCGCCGCCCAGCCCTGCCGAGCCGCGCCGCCCAGGCCGAGCCGCGCCGCCCAGCCTCAGCCGCCCTGCCCAATCCGAGTCGCGCCGCCCTGCCTCGTTCACCAGCCCCACCGAGCCGCCCTGCTGCTACTACTGCTGCTGCTGCTGCTCGTGCTACTGCTGCTGCTGGTGGAGGTGCTGCTGGGAGTGCTGGAGGTGTTGTTGGTGCTGGAGGTGCTGGAGGTGCTGCAGGGAGTGCTGGAGGTGCTGCAGGGAGTGCTGGAGGTGCTGCTGGTGCTGGAGGTGCTGGACCTGCTACTGACCGTCACTGCCTGTCATGGCCACTATCACGGTAGTTGCAGCTCCTCCATGATCCATGCGGCTGCTCCCCATTTTCTGTGGCCATTTGCGGTCCGATACGCTGCGCATCAGCTCAACCTTTGGCCTCGTGCCTCTGAGCCAGAGACCTCGCCCACATTCCGGTGGACGGCGAAGGTTGGCGATGCGTCGGTGTTTCGGGTCTGGGGCGCGCTCTCCCTTGTTTGCGATGCCAAAGCGAGCAAGCTCTCCTCTCGCACTCTCCGCTGCGTCTTCCTTGGCTTCCCCACCGACGCCCCGCCGTGGCAGTTCTACCACCCGCCCTCGCGTCGAGTCGTTTCCTCCCTGGACGTCACATTTGACGAGTTTGTCTGTTTCTACAGGCTACACCCGCACGCGTCCCACCCGGTCCCCCTAGCGCCTCTCTTCCTGGTACTAGTCCCCCCCCCGGTAGACCCCCTCCCCCCACAGGGTCCTGCTCCCTCAAGTGTGTCTCAGGTAGACCCACCCCCCTTGGTTGAGCCTTTGGAGATCTCTTCTGACTCCTCTGGCCCAGCTGAGGGGGGTGACCCCGCCGCTGACGACACGGCGGCCACTCGCCGCTCTCCACGCTTGGAGACCCCCCCTGGTTTTCCGCCTCGGCCGTCTTCGCCGCCTCCGCAGCTTGCTGCTGTGGGCTCAGGAGCTGAGACTGCTGGTGCTGAGCCTGGGGGTGCTGAGACAGAGGGTGAGGGTTCTGGGGGTGCTGCGACTGGGGGTGCTGACTCTAGGGGTGCTGCGAGTCCTAGTGGCGGTGGAGCTGTGGGTGACCCTGCTGGAGGTCCTGGAGCTGGACAGCCACCGCAGCCTGATCTAGTTGAGACGCTCTCGCCGCAGGCGATTCGTGTGTGGATCATTCAGCAAGGTAGTCCTGGTGGTGGAGGGTTCGGTCCTGCTGGTGCTGGAGCTGCTAGTCCTGGAGGTACTGCTGGGGGTGCTGGAGGTACTGGAGGTGCTGGAGGTGCTGGAGCTGCTAGTGCTGGAGGTACTGCTGGTGCTGGAGGTACTGGAGGTGCTGGAGCTGCTAGTGCTGGAGGTGCTGCTGGTGCTGGAGGTGCTGCTGGTGCTGGAGGTGCTGGAGCTGCTAGTGCTGGAGGTACTGCTGGAGGTGCTGGAGGTGCTGGAGCTGCTAGTGCTGGAGGTGCAGCTAGTGCTGGAGGTGCTGGAGGTACTGCTGGAGGTTCTGGAGCTGCTATTACTGGAGGTACTGGAGCTGCTAGTGCTGGAGGTGCTGGAGCTGCTGGTGCTGGAGGTCCCGGAGTTGCTGCTGGTGCTGGAGGTGCTGGTCCTGCTGGTGCGCTTCGCCACCTTCTCGGTCTTCCGCCAGCTCCTACTGAGTTCCCTGTCGCTGGTACTACTCCGCCTTTACTGTTCCCTCCAGCAGACCTGTCTCAGCCACAGCTACTCCCTCACTCCCCACTGCCTACTCCTGCTCCTTACACTGCTCTGACAGAGTCCCTGACTGAGCGTTGAGAG